GGTAGACTGTGCAGCGTAGGTTGGTATACAGTATTGGACTGTTAGACTGTACAGTGTAGGTTGGTATACAGTAGTGGACTGTTAGACTGTACAGTGTAGATTGGTATACAGTAGTGGACTGTTAGACTGTACAGTGTAGATTGGTATACAGTAGTGGACTGTTAGACTGTACAGTGTAGATTGGCATACAGTTGTGGACTGTTAGACTGTACAGTGTAGATTGGTATACAGTAGTGGACTCTTAGACTGTACAGTGTAGACGGGTACATAGAAGTGGACTGTTAGACTGTACAGTGTAGGTTGGTATACAGTAGTGGACTGTTAGACTCTACAGTGTAGATTGGTATACAGTAGTGGACTGTTAGACTGTACAGTGTAGATTGGTATACAGTAGTGGACTGTTAGACTGTACAGTGTAGGATGGTATACAGTAGTGGACTGTTAGACTGTACAGTGTAGATTGGTATACAGTAGTGGACTGTTAGACTGTACAGTGTAGATTGGTATACAGTAGTGGACTGTTAGACTGTACAGTATAGATTGGTATACAGTAGTGGACTGTTAGGCTGTACAGTGTAGATTGGTATACAGTAGTGGACTGTTAGACTGTACAGTGTAGATTGGTATACAGTAGTGGACTGTTAGACTGCACAGTGTAGACGGGTACATAGAAGTGGACTGTTAGTTTAGTTCCCTCCCAAACATATTAAATATAGCTGTACATTTTTTTAGTAGCCTATGATGATGTTTTCCCTTGTATTTTAATATATTTTCTATTTTTGATATACCCTGATTTCTTTTTACCAGTTTCCCTGATCTGAGTGACGGAAACCTTGACGAAGGAATATGCCAGGTATATCGTAGTGCTACATGCTCCAAATTTCTTACTAACAAAACTGTTTTTGTGAGTTCGATTCACAGTCAAGGGATTATGGAAGAAAAATTGGCGGCAGCGTTTTCAGTGATTGCTTCTTCACAAGATGTCTCCTCAGAGTGCCACAAGTATGCCATTCCTTCACTTTGCTTCTACGCATTTCCACTTTGTGATAATGCATCAACACCCAAACCGCGTCATGTTTGTCGAGATGAGTGCGAGGTGTTGGAAAACAGCATCTGTCGACTAGAATATTCTATAGCTAAAAGACATCCTCTGATTGGTCAACAGAAAATTCTTCCAACATGTGAGGATCTTCCACCTTTTGGTTCTAAAGCAAGTGAAACGTGTGTACGACTCGGAGTTCCTAATTCCATTCAGAAAAATGATAGTAAGTAGCAGTTTGGCTATTAAATAAACCAGCAAGCCCTGATGTGATCTTTTTGTATAACCAGTTAATTATAATTATGTATATTAATCAAATTACAAAATCTTTACATGTTGAGCAGTTTTGGAGATATAAGAAATTGCCAAACTTTTCATGATTGTACTAATGAGTTAATTTTTGGATGAATAAAATATAATTAATATTAAAAGTAGCGTGTTATTCAGAGAAGTTACTAGTCCGAGTAAGCTTGTTCATTCTTGAAGATCGAGGCCTTTATATGCCATATAATGCTATTATCGTGTTTAAGTTTGAAAATATTGAGACCATGTAGAAAAGTTTAACATAATTTTTTTCTTATTCAACTTTCTTGAGGTTATAATTTCTACCTTTTTACACATGTTTTACTTACTGAGTTTAATGATGTCTTAGGTCCCATGCTAATCTTTGAATTACTTTCTTCACTGTCTGTCATCCTTTTGATGACTATGTTTATGCTTTGTTTGTTTGTTTGTTATGAATTTCGCGCAAAGCTACATGAGGGCTATCTGCGCTAACATTCCCTAATTTAGCAGTGTAAGACTAGAGGGAAGGCAGCTAGTCATCATCACCCATCGCCAACTCTCGGGCTACTCTTTTACCAACGAATAGCGGGATTGACCGTACATTATAACACCCCCACAGCTGAAAGGGCGAGTATGTTTGGGGTGATGGGGATTCGAACTCGCGACCCGCAGATTGCGAGTCAAGTGCCCTAACCACCTGGCCATGCCGGGCCAAATGGTTATTTAATTTCCCTTTAAAGATCCTAAAGGATGAAACAGATAAACGTAACTTCTCAGTTGGTAAAACTAATCAAGATATGTAACTTTATTTTTCGTTACAAAGGGTGTTTGTTAATAAACTTGATGGCCTTGCTTTGTTTTAGAACATACATGTTACATGGGAATGGGAGACGACTATCGTGGTACATTATCTTACTCCGTGTCTGGTCACAAGTGCCAACACTGGAGTCATCAGATCTTCTACCATACCTCCGATCATCCAGAACTGACTGGTGGACATAACTATTGCCGTAACCCTGGCCGAACAGAAAGTCAGCCCTGGTGTTTCATTGCTGACCCGCAAGTCCGAAAAGAGATGTGTGAAATTCCTCAGTGTGGTAAGCAACAAGTTTTACTAACTTATTAATCCGGTATTCATACGTGTATATCTTTATCAACCTAATCCGAGGAAACAACTGTAACAGGAAGCAAAATCAGAAATAAAAAACATCTCAAGAAAATAATGGACAAACAATACTCTTCCAAGTAGCTGATATAAAATATGACAGCATGTTAAAAGGGGTTAATTTAGAGTTGGTCAGTTTTCACCATGAAACAACTAGGCTCATACAGTTACCTGAAAGAACTTTAACACACTGAAGGATGAGGCTCTGAAAGTTTAAAAAAAAAAACTGAATAATTCTATTCATTCTTCTGGTTCTAGCTTTTCAGTCACTTTCACAATCACCAAACCTAAAGTAATCGACCAAATAATGAAAATAACTCAGAATAACGTAATAATGAAATGAAAATAATGAAATAATGAAAATAACGTAACATTAACTTCTGATCAATGTAAGACATCTACATAGATTGGAACTAAAAGTATACCTACCTATTACCAGTTCAAATGATATTATCTGAAATACATTCATTCATCAGTTGGCTACCAGTTTCTCAAGAGAAAGTCTTGACAAAACTTGATATTATCTGTAATACATTCATTCATCAGTTGGCTACCAGTTTCTCAAGAGAAAGTCTTGACAAAACTTGATATTATCTGTAATACATTCATTCATCAGTTGGCTACCAGTTTCTCAATAGAAAGTCTTGACAAAACTTGATATTATCTGTAATACATTCATTCA